TTATTAAATAACTCTGCGAGTTTTCAACATTTTCCGTTCAAACTTGGTCAGATAGTAGAACTAGTCTAATGCTTTCATGGAAACCAATAAAAAAATTTTAGGCAAAATTAACACTCAAAGGTGTTCTGTAACCTTAACTTTGTCTCCCATGCTTCTTCTGGTTTGCTGAGCTTATAACACCTGTTGTAGATCCATAGTAGATAAGACTATTACAGGCTGGTGAGAGGTAATTGAAGAACACTTTAAATGTAACATAATCAGGGAATCCAGTATAAAACCAAAAGTCACTCCCACTAACAATAAATCTTTCCAAACGAAATAAACATTTTCCTGCTGCTTTCACATCATCTTCATATGTCTTTTCCAGAGAACTGTATTTTGATTGAGGAGCTTCAAGTTTGGCAGCATCAGTATCTTCCACTGGGTCTTCTGTCAGGTCTCATTGTCACATATTATTGTTCCAGGAACTATATTATTGTTCCATGTTTGATGTGGTAAACCTCCATGGTTTGATGTGATAACCTCAAAAACAATCTGCTGTCTGCTTGGCTTTAATTTTCTGCACACAGTAATCTTATCTATAATTCTTTCAAATGATAGCATTGAAAAAAAATCGTACGAAAATTTTTTTAAATCCTCAAAAAGGCCTGTTTCTGGAATAAAAAAAATTCGGATCACATGATTTTCTTAAAACTTGCACATTTTACGCACCACTTCAAGATTACAGGAAAGTGTGTGAAGTTTTAAAAATTTTCACTGAAGGAAACACAAGAAAAATACATTTATTTTTATCTATGTGACATCACAAAATTCAGGATTTCAATTTCCTCATGCGACCAGCCGACAATCCCACAAAGGCCTGTGTGTGTATATCACAATGTTTTAGCGTAGTGAATAAATTCGTTAGAATAAAATAACCCGCAATTTTAAAAAACCTGCCACATGTGCAGCGTGGAGCACCACTCATCTCGCACATGGACAAAATTTCCGCAACACAGACCGAAAATTGTAGGGAGCCACCTTAAGTGGATTTTTTAACATATAAGGTCATAACTTCTAGACATTTCATCCAATCACCACAATATTTTCATTAGTGAGTGCATTGATGACATACAAAACAACATAATGTACCAGTTGGACACTTATCATTGCCATGGAAACTGTATGATGTCATGAAATCACAAAGAAAAAACACAGAAACTGAAATTAGATAATTTATTACTTAAAAACCATTACAAAAAATTGAAAGTGTGTGGATGCATGTTTTCATTAAAGTGATGCGACCTGCAGTTACCGACTCGGATACCAGTACCAGCTCTGTATTTTTTACATGGAATTTGAGAAGCATGATGTCCGGGCAGATCAATAAAGCTGTTCAATCGGTCTTTAAAAAAGCAGGAGTCGATATCAAAGTAACCTCAACGTCGTTCCGGGAAGCTGCAGTAACGAAAGTGCATGAGAGCAATCCTAAGCTAAGTGAAAAGCTTGCAGGACTTATGTCACACAACGAATCTACAGCCAAAAAATATTATCTTTTATGGGAGAAAACGAAAGCATCAATTGAAGCTTCAACAAAACTTGGGAAGTCGATGCGGAATCAAGATGCCTCAAAAAAAAGCGCTGATGAAAGTGAAGCTGACGTTTCGGCAGATTTCAATGAGTCTGAAACTAAAATGAGGACTCCTTGGAAAAATGAAGAAATACGAATGGTGAAAGAAACCTTCAACAAAGAATTAAAGCTCAAAACGATTATGCTTGGTATCGTTCGTGACAAAGTTAAAAACAGCAAACAGCTTAATGGAATGTCACCAAGACGAGTCTTTGATCGACTTAGGAAAGAGTTAATTAAATGAAAAACAATTATATGCCATTGAAGAGGTGAGACATGAACTACCAAAAGAGTGTGAAAGTTTGAACGACCGCCTCGAAAGAATGGCACCCAATTCCCATGGTGAAATATCTTACAGTGCCAACGACGAGCAATCTTCTCCGAGTGTCATTTCACCAACCGAATTTGCAAGTACTGATCTCTTTTCAGATTCCAATCTTACCTTACTTTTATAATATTAAATTAGGAATTTTGTAATGGTTTAAAACACTTTTGTATACGAATCATGTAATTCAGCTTTATGCATGGCTGCTAGATGATTTTAATAAACAGATTATCTATCTATCTATCTTGCCTCTATGACCTTCTTACCTTCTTTGCTTTGGGTTTTCAGAACATCAATTGGTAGAATAGTACATGTAGCCAAGTTAGGATGTCAACCCATGATTTTCCCATCTGCTCCCTTGTTTCACTTCAATTACCAGCTTATTAGTTAAAAATACAACTGTGGTCTTACCAACAACTTGCTGTTGTTTTTAATACATTCAGTATATCATGCAATACCTGGTCAGTAATTCCAAGTCTCAGACGATCATCGCCAACAGATGCCTGCTCATGCTCTTATAAAGCTGTAAAATAACTGTACAATTACCCTCTGGGTGTTTTGCAAGCATGCGTGGGGATGATTATATTAGGGTCAAGCAAATGAAGGCTTCTTTTCACCCTTTCCTCCCGGTTGTCCATGAAACTACGGGTTGTTTTAATGATTTTGTTAAATAAATGATAACATACATTATGATTACCTTTCCACCACTCAGTTTTTTATCATTTTTAAGCAGGGCAATCAGTTTTCTTCATCCCAATTTTGAAAGTTCCACGAGCACATGTCCATTCACGCCATTGGCGAACTTGCAAAATTACCTAAATTCAAATGAATTTCTACAAGTGAGCTTGATCGTTAAACAAAACAAATTATATATCAAATGAAACCTTAAAACATACAGTTTATGTACGTACCTATTGTTGTAGACATTTTGTGTTAAATTGAGTTGAATCTTGCTTTTCAAAATTGGCTTTTCAAATACAAAGTCTTCTGCTCAAAAGTTAAAGAACGACCTAGTTCATAGTTCAGAAGGATCTTCAGGCTTTGAACTTTAAGGTGGTGCTATTTTAAACCTGAATTCTGGTCGGGCTCATGTGTGGAAAATCGGTTGAAGAGGGACAGGTAGGTGAGTAAATGTGTGCTGTGTGACTTTAATGGTGGCAAAATTGCAAATATGCCCAAACTTTGATGCTTCATAACAAAATAACTGTGGCACTGCAGGCTTCGAAAACACACTCATTTTGTAGATTGAGATCTACTTTGTTTTTAAAGATTAATTTTAAAATGATGTATTTGCTTTCTTTTGCATAACACGCTGAAGGTAGCATATATCAGAAAATATTAACCGGAAATTGAAGCTGTTCCAAAGTGTAACTGACTTAGAGTTG